CACTGCTGAATTTTATCAAATTCCTTAGCATCTCATTAGCTAGTAGTTCATTTATTGCATTTTAATATGATGAGTTATATGATAATGTCTAATGTTAGAAAAGCTTTAAATAACTGAAATGAATGTCACTTTGTCATGTTGCTCTCTATATTTTTTTATATGCCATAGTTTTTTTTAGTTATTTTGTTAGTTTACGTGTCTATATAATTTGGGGATTACATTTTTACTCCACATGTGCACTTTCTTCAGTTACCCTCCAATGAACCTCCCTTGCCAATGCCCTACTCACTATATACCCTCTGTTCTCCCTGGTAACCAGAATATTATTCACTAAGTCTAAGAATTGCTTTTGCTGTGCTTTGCCAGTATAAGGCTTTTGGTTATTTATATTCCACAGATAAGTGAAGCCATCCAATAGCTCTCACTTTCTGACTTAAGCATTGATGGATTTTATCTACTAACAATGTATTTTGCCTATTTCTTTATTATTAATAAATTGTTTTGGTTATAATTATGTGTACTTTTGCAGATAATTGCTAGATATGTAAATGGTTTGATGAAGTTGAAAAGAAACCAGGAAAATTTATTTTTGTATTCTTAGGTACAGTTTCAGTAGCCTTGCAAAATACATGATTGCTGAAAGATTAGAAAGAACTTACCTTTGGAACAATTGTAGTCTGGAGCTTTTGGAGTTACAGCTTTTTGTCAGCTTTCTCTGTTTAAAGTTTCCAAACATAACTACACATTGGAATCACCTAGAGTAAAATTACTGGTACCCGCATCCCTTCAGCAGGGATCCTTTTTAATTAGCCTGGCCATGGGATAATTTTTAAATTGTCAAAATGGCTATAATGTGAAGCTAAAGCTCAGAGCCTCTGCATTTCATTCATTTCACTCAGAATATTAGTTTAATTTTGGTTTTTTCTTTTCACAAATAACTTTTAGTGATTTCTTTTAAAAAAATATTTATTTATGCATACAGAACTGGGTATAGGCCAGAGGTGCAGGGGCAGTGAGAGGAGAGAGTGGGAAGCAGAACAGGCAGAGCCATGAAGTACACTGCTGAGGGGAGCAGTGGGTGAGACAAGAGAGGTCTGCTGTGCCATGTGGGTCAACTCGGGGCCAAGGATTGAACTCACACTGAAGCACCTGCAGCTAGCTTGCAGTGCTACCGTTGCCCACCAGGTAGGGACCACTTTTAGTGATTTTTTTATCTACCCAGAAAGTTACCTTTTCCTCCAGGCTTTCAAACCAATTGCAAAGTACTACAGCATAATTATTTTATTTCATTTGTGTTGTGATTATTTCACTTTTTTTTAATTTATTTATGCATACAGAACTGGGGTACAGGTCAGAGGTGCAGGGGCAGTGAGAGGATTCACCAGAGACAGTGGGGCATAGAACAGGTCAACTGATAAAGTACACTGCCCAGGGAAGGAGCGAGCGGGTCAGGAGAGGTCTGCCGCGCCATGTGGATCATCTACGGGCAAGCATTGAAATCATGCTAAAGTGGCTTAAGCTTCTTAGGGCTGTGCTTTAACCCTCTGCGCCACTGGGGGGGGGGGGGGCCTATTTCACTTTTTTTAGTTTCTAATTTGTGCTTACTTCATCCAACATTATTTGTTGTTGTTGTTATTAGGTAAATAGTAGCATGTCTATTTAGTGACTCCTTAAGAGGAACAATTGTTGAATTTACTCATTAAATGCATTATTTTTCTGATTTTACATTCCATAATTACTCCTTTATACTTTATAGTTTCCCTTTCTGACCTTCCTTAGGCTAAATTTGTTTATCTGCTTCTAACTTCTTGAGCTATTTCATTTTTTTGTTTGTTTGTTTTATTTAATTTACTTCTCTTCATCCTTTTTTTAAAGTAATATAAGTGTTTCTGGCAATTAGATTTTCAACTAAGGAATATCTGTGTATAGTATTTATTAATATGTTACTTTTGTTTTTATTTGTATATGGTCTGTAGTTACTGTTTGATTTCCTATTTAATGTAAAGTTTGATTTCCTATTTAATGTAAAGTTGTTTGCTATAGGACTTTTTGGGTGTGATTTTTTCTTCATTTTCCAAGGAGAAGGGGTTATTTTTATAATCATGTCTAATTTTATTGTCACAAATTGCTTCTGAATTAGTTGGACAATCCTCCTAAAGTACATTGATCTTAATTGATCTTAACCTGCTTCGCCTTAACTTGCAGACTTGATCTTAATTGAACATATATAACACCTAGCACTTTAAAAAAGGAAAAGCAACTGATTTGAGTATAATAAACAGAAAAGAAGTGGCAACAGCTTCCCTTCCTTCTTAGGCAACTGATTACTAAAGTGAGATTATTTTCTTGGCAGGGATGTGCTTTGGACTCAAAGCACAAAAATACTGGTGTGTTCCCCAAGTCCACTTTATCCAAAAGTCAGGAAACTATCCACAAAAGACTAAACAGTAAACATTTTAGACTTTATATATTGGGATACTAATATTGCATGGGACATACTTATGATTGAAAAGTTCTCATTGTTTGCTAGAAAATCACATTTAACTGGGCATATTATATTTTATTTGCTGACTGACAACCCTGTTTGTGGGCTGTGTGAGTACCTGTGATAATTGTAGTGGGAAAACAATCATAGGAAATACATAAACAGATAAGTGTGCCTCTGTGTCAACTGAATATTTTGTATAAAAATAGGGAGCGAGAGTCACAGTTGTTCACCTCTGCATTAAACCAGTAGTTTACAGCATTTAATGTGTATCACATGGCACAGAGAGCTGCTCAAACACCAGTGCTAGGCCCTGTCCCAAGAGTTTATGATTCAGTAAACTCTGAATCAAACTTCTCAGAGAAGAAACCCACTATCTGCATTTCACTCTAGGCCTGCTGGTCCATGAAACACACCTTGAGGGCCATTGCTTTAGAAAAAATGTCTATTATCTTCCTATTGCTAAAATGCTCCCACAGGATCATGGGTTTTCTTTTTTTGTTTGTTTGTTTTTAAGATTAATTTATTTATGCATACAGAATTGGGGTACAGGCCAGAGGTACAATGAGAGGGGCAATGAGAGGATTCACCAGAGACAGAGAAGGGAGCAGAACAGGCAGATCGATGAAGCACACTTCATCGACAAGCGAAGTCTGCCGCAAGACAGGCGAGGTCTGCCGCACCATGTGGGCCACCTCTGGGGCTGGGGATTGAACCGGCACTGAAGCAGCTGTGGCTAGCTTGTAGTGCTATGCCCTAACCTGCTGCGCCACCAGAAAGGGCCGGATCAATGGTTTTCATCAATCTGAAGAGACAGAAATAATTTAATGTTGAAATCTAAATATTCTTATGGCCAGATCTTCCTGACCAGCAGGGCTTCCTGAACACAAATGGTACCTTTGGACTAATACCAAAAAATCACTCCCTCTTGGGCTAGCATTAGAAAAACAGGTACCACTTGCTTTGAGGGCCATCGCCCTCACCAGGCAGATGCAGCTGCTCCCGGTTAAGCCTCTGTGTAGTGCACAAACCACTGGGCCGACCTGATGATCATAAAATGTTAGGTGCCATTTAGTCATCAAAACTATACATTCTAACCTTAAACTAATCAGTCAGCTTTAACTTCTTTGCTTTTAGTGAAAAAGATAGTAATGATTTTTTTTTCTTCTGGGGTTTGATAGACTTTGCCTAGCTTATTGAGAAATACTTATGTGAAGTATATCATTGTGATGCAAAACAATCATTTTAAGGAAAATCTCAGATAAGTTGACACCTGCACTCTCATCCCCAAGTGGAAAAAAATCACCAGACTTTTAAGAACTCTTTGTAGTTGTTATGCTCAGTGTCAATATAGTAAATTATCTGGACTATTTGGTTCTTTCTAGTTGACTGAGGGTTTCTTTAGAGGATAACATATCAGGGGTATTTTGTGAACATTCCATGACCCTTCAAAGGGGTAACTTTCCTCTAGGAATGCTGGAGAGTTAGAAATATTTCTCTCCCTACATGTGTATGCACTGTTAACCACATCTATGAGTTATATGGGTTCCCCATATTCTTATTCAACCCCCTCATCTAATGCCCAAAAACTCAGGGAGGAAGTTCTCATGAATAATTTTGATTCCCTGTCAGGTACTAAATCTTTGGAACATAGCAGGTAAGTTTTTTGTTTTTTGTTTTTGGCTCTTAAGTAGGTAAAGGACATTTGTTTCTCCCATCAAATAAAAATAATTTTTGTCCTTTTTATTTTCTCTCATTTGGACTTAGAACTGAGCAGTCAATCTAGAATCTGTTAGAATTGCTGCATTTCTTCCTGAAGATACACTTTTTTCCCACGTTTAAGTTCCTGTGACAGATTTTACTCAAGCCTTGTGTTGATTTTAAAAGCTTTTAAAATATAAACATAGGACACTAGCTAAAAAGACATGAGCTTGTTACCATTTCTCTCTAGGTTATTCTTTTTTTTTTTTTCTGCCCCTTTGCTTTTTGGTGTTTCAAGATATTCAACAATGGGCAGACATTACTTCCATAATTAAGAGAACAAAGACAATTTGTAATTAGAAAAAAAAAAGTCCTATTTTTTTTCTCTGATGTTTCCTCTCTGGTTCAAGTTCTACTCGTTGAGAGTTTACACGGAAAGTAAATTCTCTCTTTTACATGGCAAAACTATTAACATTTAATGGGGGGTATTTCATATTCCCAGAGTCTTCCACCTAAAACTTTACTTAGAGGTTTATTATTTGGTTCATAGATCGTTCACCTTCTTGTTTGTCTCTAAACATAGTTGGTGAAAATTTGATTTAAAATAGAGGTCTGAAAACTAGACACATTATTCAGGTGAAAATTGATCTACACCAGAGTATCTCTTGGTTCATATACAGCAACACCACATGGAAGTTACTTAAAATCCTCTTCCTCACTCCTTTGCAACTATTTTTATACATGTAACAAGCACATGACATAGCTATATCACCTGTGCTTTTCATGTTCTCCCTCCCCAAGTAGGATCTAGACCATGGACCTAAAGAACAGCAGCATAGTGACCGAGTTTGTCCTCGTGGGCTTTGAGCAGAATTCCCCGTCCACTCGGGCACTGCTCTTTGTCCTCTTCCTTGGCCTCTATAGCCTGGCCATGGCCATGAATGGTCTCATCATCTTCATCACCTGGACAGATGCAAGGCTCAGCAGCCCCATGTATTTCTTCCTTGGCCACCTGTCCTTCCTGGATGTCTGCTTCATCACCACCACCATCCCCCAGATGCTGAAACACCTGGTTGTTAAGAACCATGTTGTCTCCTTTGCCTCTTGCCTGACCCAGATGTACCTGGTTTTTGGTGTGGGAGTGGCAGAGTGCATCCTCTTGGCTTTCATGGCCTATGACCGTTATGTTGCCATCTGCTACCCACTCAACTACGCCCAGATCATGAGCCGCCAGGTGTGTGTGAGGCTGGTGAGTACCGCCTGGTTTTTTGGGATGATCAATGGCATATTGCTTGATTATATGACATTCCGTGGGCCATTCTGTAGAGACAACCACATAGGGAACTTCTTCTGTGAAGCCCCCATAGTGATCACCCTCTCTTGTGGAGACCCCCAGTTTAGCCTGAGGGTAATCTTTGCCGATGCGATCATGGTGCTGCTAAGCCCCATGGTGCTCATCGTCATCTCCTATGCACGCATCCTGGCCTCCATCCTTGGGAGAGCCTCCTCCTCTGGTCGGGGGAAGACTTTCTCTACCTGTGCCTCCCATCTGACTGTGGTCATCTTCTTCTACACCTCGGCCATGTTCTCCTACATGAACCCTCGCAGCACACATGGACCTGACAAAGACAAGCCCTTCTCCCTCCTCTATACCATCATCACCCCTATGTGCAACCCTATCATCTACAGTTTTCGAAACAAGGAAATGAAGGGGGCAATGGTGCGGGCTCTTGGGAGGACTAGCTCCTGAAAAGGAGCTCCCTCCTCGGCCATGACAGTTGGATAACTCCAAGAAAAGAGCATTCATAGCTTCTCTTCTACTTACCAGAGAACTGGAACTTCCTGCTGATAGCTTAAGTTCATCATTGTTTTCACTTGGACCCTCCTCAGGAGAACTTGAAACTTATTGAGATTTTTCTGAGATAAATATGTAGGTGTACTGAACTCCATTTCTTTTTATTTGTATAGTTCTTTTCCATGCTATTTCATTTGCAGTCTGAGTTTTATGTAACTATTTATGAATAAACTTTTTTCTTTTCAATTTAACATGTTAGTCTTTCTTGTATTACACACATTTCTTACATTTGCCCTCACCCATTCCACTTTTATATGAGAAAAAGTAAAAAGAAGAACAAGGGAATTAGGAAAAAAAATTGTCATTAAGATAATCAGAGAAAAGAAGAAAAGGGAAAATTAAAGATTCTCAGTCAGTACTCCCCCTTCTTTGCTGTCACTGCCCAGTGAAAGAAGAGACTTTGTTGTGACATTATATTGCCACTGCATTCCACTTATATTTAAACTTGTGTATGTTAGAGAAGAGAGAAGCCAAAGTGTCCTTCACCAAAGTCCTCTGATTCAGTTAAATAACATAACTGATATCTCTTTCCATTCCAAAGAGTAAGTACCAAGCTTCTCATACTGTCACTCAGGAGACAGAAGCTGATAAAACAAACATTGGGTTATCAGCAAAAATGATTAAAGCTATTTGAAGCAATTTGGTTAAGGATTATATATACATTCTGACCCAAACTGGTTATGTTACAGGGAAGCCCAAAGTGGACTGGGCTGTCTGTCTGTGGGGCCTCACCCACACGCTCACAATTCGGTTATACTGCAGGTACACACAAAAGGGTCAATAATGGGTTTATTTACCAAAGGGAAAAGGAAAAGGAAACAACCCAGGGAAAGAGAGTGGGATACAAAGTAACTGGAATACCTTAAGGCTAGGCTGACTAAACACGACGAGTCATGCGGTCAGGAGAGCTGCTTCCCAAGCAAGAGAGTGAAAGATAAAATAATGCCCTATTTATCCCCCAAATGTCACAGAATTCCTGCTAACTCCGCCCTTGTGTCCTTGCAGTTCTCTCCCTGGTACTGCTGGGATTTATAGTTTCCAATCACTGGAGTAGGGGATAGTGTCCAAAAAGCTGGAGTAGGAGGTGGAGTCCATAAGACTCTGCAGAGTTCCCCTTAAATGCTAAAACAGCATGAGCAAATATTCGTTGCACACTAAACGCCCCACTCAAAAGTGCCCCTGACTACCATATTCATTTAAAAAAAATTGATACTAATCTATGCATACAAGAGGTGAGGAATGGGATTGGGGAGGGCGTTAAGAGGATTCACCAGAGACAGAGTGGAGAGCAAAACAGGCAGACTGACTGAAATACATTGCTGAGAGGAGCAGCAGGTAAGATAGGATAGGTCTGCTCTACCACGTGGGTCTCCTCCCTGGTCAGGGATCGAACTCGGGCTGCAATGGCTATCCACTCATGTGGATAGTTTCATAGTGATATACTTTAACCCAATGCACCATTGAGGAGGGCCCCCTGGCTATATGCCACATACAGAGGCAGAAATGGTCAGAAAACCACTTTGTCAGCCCACTTCAGCGTAATTTGCTCTGAATAGGAGATATAGGTGAATTTCCTTATCTAAATACCAGATAGTAGAATCCTGAAAGACTAGCTAGAAGACTTCTTGGCTTGCTTTGAGGTGTAGAAGGTAAAAAGCTTGACTAGTTCTAAAACAGGCTACCTGGGTGAATTTCCATAACTAAAGGCCAGACAGTAGGAAGTTTGAGTAATTCTTTTAGAAGCTGAATAGAAGGCTAGGTGAGATAGTGGAATGATAAGATTTGGGTTTTCCTCCATGGGCAGTGAGAGACTGCAGAAACAGCCCTCTTGCTTTTATTGATCAACCAGTTGTCAAGTCACTTTTGACTTCAGAGGAATTTCTCACCCTGGTGCAGGGCTTGCTTGTCAGGGCAGGCAGGCCTTATGCGGCTGAGGCAATCCAATTGTAAGCTGAAAGTTGTTCAGAATACTTTGATATTATGATTATACAAAAAAGGGAAGTCATAACATAAATTAGCGTGGAAAGTCTGATTTTTCAGAGCAATTCCCCTCCATCCATACCGTGTCTGACGACAGAGGTTGCATAGCTTATGTCACTGTATAGCTTAGTGGAGACTTGGCCAGTAGCACTAGGCTTAGCCTATCAGGACCGGGGCTTATATGCACATTCCTAGGCCAAGGGTCTCTGTAGATTCCGGGAGGAGTCAGGTGGGAAGAGTCAATTTGAATGTACCCTGATCCTGAAGGCCACCTGGCCTCCCTCTTTGCCCCAACCTTTCTAGTGATCTTGGCGTTTTGCTCCCCTTGGCATCATCTCTGTGGTGCCAAAGATACCATGTGATTACATCGCAGGAATGAGGTTAGGGTAAGTCACACCCAAAGGGTGTTCTGGCTCAAAAACACCCTTTACTCCCTCCCCCTTTTTTTTCCTTTCTCTCAGTGTGGTCCCTTCTAGACTGCACTTGTCCCTCCCAGGGCAGTTTTAGTCCCTCCCAGAACATTTATGGTCCCTCCCAAAGCATTTTTTGGTCCCTCCAAGCGCATTATTTTTTTGTCTCTCCTAGGGCATTTGTATTTGTCCCTCCCAGTGCATAGCTTGTCAAATTTGTCCCTCCCAGAATGTATTTTGGTGTATTTGTCCTTCCCAGGGCGTATTTTGGCATATTTGTCCTTCCTAGGGCACACTTGAGTCTTAAGCCATTTTTTTTTTCCTCTAGTCTCTACTTTTCTCTCCCTCCACACCTAATGGGTAACTCTTCAGCCAAGGCAGGTGACTTAAACCCCCTCCAATGCACCCTCCGTCATTGGGATACTTTGGGCCTTAAACGAGATGGCCTCAAGAAGAAAAAACTTGTTCGTCTCTGCAATGTGGTATGGCCCCAATATAAGTTAGATAACAATCACTGGTGGCCAGAAGGAGGAACACTTGATTACTTAGTCCTTAAGAATTTAGGAAAGTTTTATTATATATAATTTATTTTTACATATTTTTGTCCTTTTTTCCATCTCAGTTGCAATCCCATCACCAAATCACTCATGTGCCCTCACCATAGTCCAGTGCATTTCCCTTCCCGCATTATTTTTGATCCCATTCCCTGCTCCACCCCCACAAAATGTCTCTGGTATATAGCTGCTTATCATTATTATTTTCTTGCCTGTTCCATTATATTAGAATCTAGGAACGCTTTTATATTGCACTGGCAAGTGCTCTGAGACCCTTTATCTTCAGGTTTTTTTTATTTCCTCTCCCGCCCATGGCTTCTTAAACTTTGTAGTCCTTCCTATATGCTAGTGGCAAGAACAGGCACTCCCAGTCAGTCACCCCTGTCCCCAGCGTCCAAAACCAATTCCTCCCTTTCCTATGGATGAGGAAGGAGGTAATTCTTTCCCTTCTACCCCAGTACCTGACTTGACCCCGCCATATCCTACTCAAACAAGAAGGATCCAAAACTCCCCTGTTCAGGAGACAATAACAACAAAGAGGATAGTGGCGAATGGACTGACTCTCCATATGGGAAGGATCCTCCCTTGGGATCCCCAGGACCGGAAGATATGGTCAAGGTCTATTTGCCTTTTCCACTTTCAGAGCTCTCAAACATAGAAAAATGGCTCAGCTCTTTCCTAGATGACCCCATACACTATCCTTCCTTCATCAATCCTTTGATCTGATGTGGCAGGACATTAATATCATCTTAGTGGCCGCCCTCCCTTCAGAGGTCAGAGGGCAGATTTTTCAGACAGCCAAAGAACACGCAGATCACCAAAATGCCCTTAATCAGGATCATCTGGCAGGGGGTGAGGCTGTCCCAGATTAGGACTTAAACTGGGAATACCAAAGAGATAGTGCAGGTAGACTTAGGAGAAACATATATGTCTCCCATCTTAATGCCACAGCTCAAAAAACCATGAATTATGACAAACTCAAGGAAATTTCTCAGGGAGCTGATGAAAACCCAATGGTCTTCCTAGGTCACCTCATCCATTGCCTATGAAAATATACCCACCTTGATCCCAAACAACCCGCGGGCCAAGACATATTAGCATCCCACTTTATCACACAATCTCACCCAGACATCAGGAGAAAAATTATCAAGGCAGAAATGGGACCTCAAACCCCCATCAAAGAGTTATTAGACACAGCATGTAAGGATTTCAATACTTGGGACGAGTCAAGGGCTCAGCAGCAGGTTGCTCTAGTGATGGCTGTGGTCAGGACCTCTCAGAGACAAAGAAAATTCCACAGAGGGGCGTGCTTTAGATGTGGTGATACCAGCCACTGAGCAATCGTTGTCCCCACCTACTTAACCACCCTCCCCGGGGCCCTGTCCTCAGTGTGGCCAACTGGGACATTGGAAATCTCAGTGTCCCAAACATGTCCTACTTATAGAAAACTCTCAGGTAACCCTGGGAGGTGGCAGACATTTTCAGCCTCAGCTCTCCTTAGAGCTTTAGAAACAATGGCCGAACTGCAGGAGGCACCCTTACATTCCTGTACTCAGGAGGTAGAAAGGGCTTAGCGACCCTAGCCTGACCTCAGGTTCTCTCCTCTGGAGGATGCAGGATGCCTGTACATAGATGGCTCAGTCTGCAGGGACCCACCTCAAGACGCTTGTGCTGTCGCCACAATAGACAAGGTCATAGAGGCAAGCCCCTGGTAGTGTAAAAGGGTGGTCCCTAGGAAAAGGGGAAGTTCCAGGTTCCCTGCCCTGACACAAGCAATGCAACGTCCATCCTCTGACAGATTCCAGGTGGATCGGGATAAGCTCTGAAAAATCAGACTGTCCACTGCTAACTTATGTTATGACCTCCCTTTTTTGCATAAACATAATATCAAAATATTCTGAGCAACATTCAGTTTACAACTGGATTGTCTTAGCCACACAGTCGGCTGCCT